CCCCCCCCCTCCCTATCCCTCTGGCTGCCAGCTGGGCCAGGGCGGCCGTGGCGGCTGACCTGTTCGTTCGGTCTGATCGCCGAAGGTAACCGAAGCACTATCGCGGAGTACCGTGATGCGCGGGAAATTGCAAACTCCCCAAAATCCAGTATCAAGGGACACCCCGCCGCGCACGGGGCTGCGCGAACGAGAGCGAGAGAGAGACAGAATGCTCGCCGAGAGGATGACAGCGCCGCGGGCGCGCCCGTCCAGCGGGTCTGTCCTGTGGCCTTGTGGCATCATTATTGCCTTCCAGGAGTGAATAATATGTCCGTGGCAGAGCGTAGTCAGTGTGGTATCACATCAGGTTCGAGCGAGCGCGCGCGTGCACACACACACACACACACACTAACACTAACACACATGCACACACACACAGCCTCTTTTTGACGATTGAACCGACTGAATTGTTCCGTTTTGCAGGCCTGGCCGTGGCTGTCCTGGCGGCTGCCCTGAACCTGACGGCGTGGGACACGATCTGGCCCTTCGGTGCGTGCGTGCAGTGCTTGGTTATCTTCACTATCACCACCCGCCGGCGATAGCGGCTGGACTGATGAGGAGGTCACTCTTTAGCGCAGGTTGTCCGCGGGGTGCGGGTCACGCAGGGTCAACTCGCCGGCCTGGCGCAGACGACGGACGCCGGCTTCCACTATCTCAGCTTCCTGGGCATCCCGTTTGCTGAGCCCCCAGTGGGGAATCTGCGGTTCAAGGTACAGTAGTGATTGATCGGGGAGAGCTGTGCGTTATCTTGATATTACGATACGATATGCTCCCGATACCGTAACCGACTCGTAACCACTAAGTCACGCGCGCATGAACCATACTTTTGATACTTCATATTTCGAAGGTAAAATCGCACTGGAGTTAAGTAGTTTGGACTTTGGTCTAAACGTCCCTGGTGGGTGTTTAAGTTAATAGTTCAGTTGAAAAATTGATTTTTGACCGTCTTTTTCCGATTTTGCCGCACTGTGGGCCGTATTTGATTTGATTTGATTTATTGTGCTAAAGAATGGTACATTAGGGCTAGAAGCCCCATTAGCAGGTTGTACCAATTATAAGTTCATACAAAAAAACAATAGCACACCCAGTATCGGAAAGGGCCGTGGCGGCACTTCCACGTCACTTTTCCTCGCCTTTCCTTCACTTGCGCGTCACTTACTTATGTACCTGGCTGTCTGACTTTTCCTCCAGCCAACTCGGAAGGGCCGGCCGTGGGAAGGCGAACTGCAGGCCTTCCGGAATGGACCCAGCTGCATGCAAGTCAGGGACAGGAGCTTCAAGGTGCGTCTACGTCAACTAACTTGTGATCGGTGTAACAGATAGACAAACTGATTATGAAATTTAAAAAGTCACTTATTTATGCAAATTTCTTTGTGTGCCGTCAGTTGCATGGGTTGCTGGGTCGCAACGCTGGCTGGAACGAGTTTCTGCTCCTAGTCACCTCAATCCCTCGCGTCCTCAAGCTGATCCTGTCTTTCAGGCAGAGTGAAGACTGCCTGTTCCTGAACGTGTTCACCCCGGTGGTAAGCTAGTAGGAAATGGATGAACTCACTGATTTTTCTGTTTCGTAATGACTCTGATTGGTCGAGTTGATCACGTGCTTGCATGTCCTTTCACGTATATTGTATTTCGACTGACGGAGGAAGAAGAAAAGCGGGTAGAATGTAAAGGTTTCTGATTGGCCGAGGGCTTACCCCCACTGCCGGTGTGACCTAGAGGCGGGATGCGCTCGACCAATCGGTAACGTTTATGTTCTACCCGCTATACATCTTCCTCCGTTTGTCGAAAGACACTATAAGAAACCGAAAGAACACTTTTCATTTTTGAGAGGTTAAGGATCGGGCCATTACAACCATGAAAATTGCTGATACTCACTGGACGAAAACAGACAAATCAGTGAGTTTGTTCTTTTTCACTTCCGTTTTCTGCCTAAAACACCCTATTGAAAATGTCACTCACTCGTACTTTACCTTTTTACCCCTTGCTGCCCCTGTTAGACGCGTTTGCCGACCGATCACCTGCGGCCAGTGTTGGTGTTTATCCACGGTGGGGGTTTCGTCCGCGGCAGCGCGCACTCGGCCATCTACGGCCCCGACTACCTCGTCGAGCGTGACTTGGTGGTCGTCACCTTCAACTACCGCCTCGGAGCATTTGGTACGTGGTCGCACGACACATGCTGCGCATGTATTGAGCTGCTTCTCTTGACCTTCCGTGCCCATCGCCTCGCAGGCTTCCTGTCGAGCAACACCTCGCACGCGCCCGGGAATGCGGGGCTCTGGGACCAGACCCTGGCCCTCGAGTGGGTTCGGGACAACATCCGCCAGTTCGGAGGCGACCCGGACAGGGTGACGCTCTACGGTGAGTCGGCTGGCGCCGCCTCCGTGCACCTGCACGTGTTGTCCCCGCAGTCCCGGGGCCTGTTCCACGCCGCCGTGCTGTCCAGCAGCACCGCCCTGTCCACCTACGTCATGGCCGAGGAGGCCTCCAAGGTGGGTGTCATCTGCGTACATTGTGTAACCGAGCAGCCGGGCACAGGGTGCCTAGCGGACGAAAGGCTATCCTGCAACACTCCGCTCGGATGCAACCGGTACATCGTCTAACGTGACCCCACTCTCCCTTCAGTCGGCGGTCCTGGCCCGGAGCCTCGGGGCGGCCGAAGACGTCGTCGCGGACCCGGCGCGCCGCATCGAGTTCCTCCAGTCCAAGACCAGCACAGAGGTGTCCCGCGGCTTCGCGGACTGCCTGAACGAGGATGTGAGACTATACTCTGCGTCCGTCTTCCAGGTTCTTTTCGTTATCACAGACCTAACCCCCCCCCCTCCCCCCGCCTTTCTCTCTACCAGGACACCCGGCAGATGATAACAAAGCTGCCCTTCGGACCCGTCGTGGAGGACTGTTCCGACGGCCTCGACCACTTTCTCTGCGCTCAGCCCGAGGACGCGCTGCAGGCCGGCGCCTTCAACAAAGTCCCCATGATCATCGGCCTCAACTCTTACGAGGGCACGCTCATCCACGCTCGTGAGTGTCATGATATCGGCATTCGGCGGTCGAGTTTTCCTGTTCGAAACAAACGTCTTATTGTCCTACTTCCTTCTTCCAGTGGACTCCGTGGAGGAGGTCCTAGAGAAGACCAACCGAGACGTGAGGACCTTCGTGCCCCGCGGCCTCTACCCGCGCATGAGCGACGCCCAGCGACTCGCGGTGGGCCGACGGATACGCGACCAGTACATCAGGCCCGAGTCACCCAACGACACCCTCGCGCTAATCCACGTAAGTGCCACTATCTGCGCTGGTGCCCGACTTGGGCCCGCCTGCGCCTTCACGGCTTCCTGGTAGTGCTCCGATAATGATTTTACCACCCATGCTGTGTCCGCAGCTGTACGGGGACTCGCTGGTGAACCACGGCATGCACGTGGCCATGCGCTGGCACGTCGCGCACTCCACGCCCGCCGCGCCCGTCTACATCTATCATTTCGTCAACAACATCTTCGGCTTTTACAAGTTCTTGTACGGCGCGTCCCTGGACGGTCAGTGAAACCGTTTTATTCTATGTTTTTAGCAAATAATTACCTTAAAACACCTTATTTAGACAATGCTAAGGTGTCGCCAGCTATTACTCACGATAGGGAAAAAGAGAAGAGAAGATGTGCTAGACCGGCAAACTAGATAATGAAGGACGCTACACGACGATCGAGGCCAGGCTGAGCCACGTCCGGCCAGGCCGATTCTGAATACTATTGCGGTGTTGCTATGCATTGCAGGCCCGGGCCACGCCGACGAGCTGGGCTGCGTGTTCTACATCCACATCCTCAACATGGGCCTAGCACAAGGCCAGGAGAAGCTCAGCGTAGCGAGAGACAAGATGACGGAGCTTTTAGCAAACTTCGTTTACCGGAGGTATTTGGAGTACTCAAAGTAAATTTACGAAAATAGTTTCACTTAAGGGTGTGTGAATGTTAAGTATTTATTCTTGTTGTATGAATTTCAGAACACCGACATCGAAGGACAGCAAGAGTTTAAATATACCTTGGCCACCTTCCACTCGCGAAAAAAACTCTTATCTCGAGTTTGGCGAAACTTTTAAAATTAAGACTGATCTTCTTAGGGAAAGAATGCAATTTTGGGACTCAGTGTATAGTGAAATTACTCACCATCCCGCCTATAATAATTAAGATTCTTACATTTTTTACACTTGCCATGTCAATTATTTGAGCTCCAATCGTCTTGACTCGAGGCGGCCTCCTTTTCAGCTCAAGACCTTTTACCCATTTCTCTCTCCCACGCCCCTCCTCTCATTTCATTATACCATCCCCGCTGCCACTTCGAGGTGCCGTTTCCACTCTTTCACCCCTCTCGCCCCCACCCCCACCCTGTAATGCGACTCTACGGGCGAGAATTAAAGGCAGTGTAAGGCTCATGCATCGCAGCGACGACAAGAGGAAGAGCGGAACGAGGCGCGGCTTTCTTCTGCCCGTAATACACCGGATTAACGAAAATATGTCCATAGACGTCTTGATTGATACCGTTGCAGCAGCAGGGCGGCGAGCGAGGGGCACGGGGTAGCGCCGCGCCGGGGCCCTTTTGCAGTCCGCTGGCGCTGGTGCGGCCGAACACGCGACTCTTGCAATATCTTATGAAGAACAATGAAAGGGGGCGCGGCCGTGGCTGGGGCCCCCCTCCATCTCCTCTGCCTCTTGCACTTGTAGCTTTGTTGGAGTTTGCTACGCGGAGGATATTATTTCAAACGGAGCCCCTCACCCCTTCGCCCCCCTCCCTTTTCTCCACTCCTTACAAAAGTGACATTTGCATTTCGCGCCGTGAATTTATTCATCATCGCATTTGCCAGAGTGAGAAGGGGTGGGGAGGGCACGGTACAGAGACTACTACTAGACGGGAGCGCGGGCGGCGGGCGAGCGGGCTCATAGCAGGGCGGGCTGGAGGGAAAGGGGTTAAGAGTCCGTGGCGTACGTATCGCCGAGTCCCTCCTCGAGCGGGCGTGGGGGCTAGTGCTAATTTCGAGCCGAGCGATGGAAAAGAAATGCCACTGGTAG